TCCCTACACTGTATGTTTTGGGACAACAAGATTTACTTTTTAACTACAAGAAATTCTTTTTGAGTTTGCTTCATGGAGCTGTAACTTCATTGATAATCTTCTTCATACCATACGGAGCTTACCTTAAAACTATGGGACAGGATGGAGAAGCACCTTCTGATTACCAGTCCTTTGCTGTCACAACAGCTTCTTCTCTTATATTTGTCGTCAATTTTCAGGCAAGTAACCTTATCTTTGTGATCTTGGGAGCTCTGAAAACACTTTCTGGTTGTGTTTCTAAATTTGTCTGCTACAAATGTAACAACATGCAAAAAGCTTCCTTTTTTTTTGCCTTCTCTCTTCTCTGACTGGTGTGTACCTGGATGAGAGGGTGTTCACGCAAAGCACTGTCAATCTTCAGAACAATTGGCATTATTTTGAATTTACAAAATCATGTGGGGCTTTTGTTTGCTTTCAGATTGGCTTGGATACATCTTACTGGACTTTTGTAAATGCTTTTTCAGTATTTGGGAGTATTGCACTTTACTTTGGTATCACATTTGACTTACACAGTGCTGGGATCCACGTTCTCTTTCCTTCTGGCTTTCAATTCACAGGTCAGTCCTTGTGTTTTGTGTTCCTTGTTCTGTCTCAGGCAGCTTTGTAACCTGAGCAACAACCGTGGGCAAAATGTCATGGCCTGACCCTGATGCCTCTGAAAGGGAATGATGTTAAACACTGATCACTTCCAAGGAAGGCTTTTATTTGTGTTTGGGGCCAGGATTCATCATTGCAGTATTTCTTTTCTTTCAATGAAAATGAGCTGGAACTTGGCTGCCCAGCAGTAGGACTCTGCAGATGAAAACCAAGACACAGCTGCCGGGGGAATTTAAAGTAAAGGGACTGTGATGATCTGGCAAGGTCTGTGTTTGCCAGGTTGCTCTAACTGATCAACAGAAAGTAAAACCCAAGGCAGGACAGAGCCAAATGCTGTCAGCAGCTTCTTTTGCTGCAAGTCCAGGGAGGTGTAAGTAGAGGCCAGCTGGATTTTTTTTTTTTTTTCCCTGAGGAAAACTGTTCTTCCTAGTTTTCCTGGTGACAAATCTTTCATGTGCTGCCTTAGATCTAACTATCTCCCCCCAGAATAGCAAACCTCCTCAGTTTTAGGAATACTTCATGCATTTCAGGATTTATAAAGATGTGGCTGCTTAGTTTGATGCAGAGTTCCATCGGTCTGGGCTGTTCATATCACTTGCTCTCTAGACCACACACATACCAGTGACAGCAGGACAACTTTCCCTTGCTCTGCATGCTTTAAGACAGGACAAAAGCCATGCATGTCAGCCAAGAGTTTGTCTGGCAGTGTCCCATAACCCTCAGAAGGGCTCTGAGGTGAATATGGGTACATTGTAACACAAGTGCTTTATAAAATTCTTTCCTATTGCTCTCTCTTCATAGTGGAGTGTCTGATTAAAAGCTTGATGTTGTAATACCCAGCACAATACCTGCATTTTAGGCCCTTAGGAAGGAAGCTGTAGCTTTTAGTATCTCATTGTGCTGCATAACTAGTTTACCTGACTGCGTAATAAACTAATTTCTGCTCTTGTTATTCCCAGGAACTGCTCCAAATGCTCTGAGACAACCGTACCTCTGGCTGACCATGATTTTATCAATTGCTATTTGCTTGCTTCCTATAGTGGCACAGCGTTTCCTGTCAACCACAGTGTGGCCTTCAGAAAGTGACACAGTGAGTGCAGTGCTCCCTTAGTGCAGTTCCTCTGGCCGGCACCTCCTTATGGGGGCCAGTGCTGCTGCTCCTGCTAGGGACAGGCAAGTGACTGCCCTGGGGACAGCTCCACCAGTCAGGAGCTGGGGTCCCCTGGCTGGGTGGTGGCTGCAGGGCAAAGGCCAGACCCAGCCTGCCATCTTGCTGGGGGACTGCTGTGCTGTGACATTTTCCACCCCAGAAACGTCACTTCAATGTGTTCTGCTTCCAGTATCTCCCCCGGGTGCTTCTGAGGGATGCAGAGAGATGTGTACAGCTCAGGGTGGGCTCCTCCACCAGCTCTCTGGGCTGAGCACTTGGCTGTGCAAAACCACAGAAACCTCCTGTGGAGCAGTTGGTGGCCAGACTGTTGGTCTGGGCTGTGCTGGAGCCCTCTGTTGTGTGTCAGAGTGGGCAGTGTGTGTTCACTTCTGCTTTCAGCTGGCCAACAGCACACGGGGCTGAAAACTGGGGGAAGTGTTGATTAAAAAAGACATTAAAGACACGTCAGCGTGAGGACACAGGAAGGGCTGGAATTACATGTCTTCAGCGTGCTTCAGTGAAAGAGATTTAAAGATGTTAAAATAATGAAGTTCAAAGTAATTCTCCCTGAGGAGATGCCGTGTTACTGCATGTACTCCTGTTTCTAACCGAATCGAACGTGGACAGGAGGACTCTCCCGTTAAGCAGCTCAGGGGTGCACAAGAGTGCGGGGCTGTTTCCCGCAGAGTCAGAGCGAACGAGCTGCTTTCCCTTGCAGATCCAGCGGCGGCGGCAGCAGTACCAGGCGGAGGAGCAGCAGTGGCGGCGGCGGCCCAGCGCCTTCCGCCGGGGGGTCTCGGCCCGGCGCTCCGCCTACGCCTTCTCCCACCAGCGCGGGTACGCCGACCTCATCGCCTCGGGCCGCAGCATCCGCAAGAAACGGGCCCCCCTGGATGCGGTGCTGGGCGGCGGCGGGACCCCCGGCAGAGACACCCGAGAGACGAGCTGATGGGCTGACTGCCTTGTGGGCAGGAGCCTTTCATCCCAGTGACTGCACAAAAATGTGGGGGGTTTTTTAAACAAGCTCAGGATTTTTTTTTAAACCGAATGGCATCAGGATATGAAGATTCCTGGGCTGTATCACAGAACTTCCTGGTTTGGGACCACTGGAAACACAGTCTCTGGAGCTATAGTCCTGGAACTGTTTCCTGTGGAAGTGAAGGATGTGTGTGCAGGGTGTGAAAACCCAGCACGGCTGTTATTTTTTTAGTAATGCCTGGAATTGCAGACTTTTTCACATTTTAATAATATGTTGGTATAAAACTGCAGCTACATTTCATGTGTTGTCTCTGGAAGCAAACTGCTCCCAGTCCTGCTGGTAGGCCAGACTCCAGCAGCCTGAGAGGCCCTCGAGGTGCCCACCTGAGGGTGTTCACCTGCACCTGGTGACAACCTGGGACAGGGACAAGTCGGGGAAGGAATCCTGGCAGTTGCAGCTGTGGTTTCTCTTCCTCTCTTTCCCCTCAATAGTTGACTGCAGCTTGCTGCACTCATCAAGAGATGGTTGATTGCATCTTGTTAGTACAAGTGCTCTGAGCCTGCCTTCCTTCCAAAGACCATTTCTTCATTTCCCCTGCAATAAAGAGATCCCACTCAAAAGGATCCCCGATACTCTTCTTGCCTCTGCCCAGCTGTGGAATATGTTCCTGTGTCCCTGCACAGTGCCTGTGGATAGAGGTACCTGCTCTCTGGGCAGCTGCCCCTTGAGCTGCGAGAGGTGTTCCAGTTTGGATAGAGCACTAACAGACTCCAGGAAAACGGCTGCTTTAGCTGGGACACGTTTCACCTGCCAGAGTCAGTTCTTACC